GTCTATGTATATTAATGTTATAGATCTCGAGACTGTCAAGACATAGTGCTTAATGGAATGCTTTTGTGGTTTATTTGATTGTTCATACTTATTTCTTAATGGATTGTGCATCTCCCTTAGTTTAATTAGTTTAATTCCATGTTATTAGCTTAATTGTAATGTAGTTGTAGTTTAGATGTTAAATAGGAGGACAATCCATGCTTGTTGTTTGATGTTCCATACTTATGAAAGCAAGTAGCATATGTCTCTAACCTTGTGATGTGTTTGGATTGTGAGCTTAAAGAAAGGATTAATGGCTTAGTTTGATATACTGTGCTATCCATCATGTTGCTTAGACAATATATACTTAATTTGTCATCCATGCTTGTTGAAACCACACACACACACTATTGTTGCAATACATGTTTTCCCCCCCATTAATCATTCATTAAGGGTGTAGAAAAGCTATGCTTAGTGGTGACCTCTAAATCCCAAGATCTCTCTCTCATTTTCTCTCCATTAAATTTAATTGTTTACTTTAGTTTAAATTACATCTTAGCATAATTCAATCACCAACCAATCTTTTGATCACACAACCTACTAAACCCTAATCTCGATTCCACAACCTAATACGACCCACCAATCCCTTGGGACGATCCCTACTCGCCCTAGCTATATTTTTAGTGAAAGGTAGTAGCGGCATATTATAAATGTAAAACTTGGCTACACTCACCATATTCCAAAACACCACTCTCTTTTGCACAAACTTTGGTTTGGGTGTGACGACCACAAGCCACCACTCTTCATTGGAGGAGATGGCAGAAACGAAGGCTCGATAGGCACCTGAAAAGTTAGTATATGTAATATATTGATCAATTGGGTAGAGGATACTAATCTGATTAGAAGTCGCTGGAGTAAGTAGTGCAACATTAGTGACCGTCGAACAATGATAGTCTTGAAGGTAGGCTGGTTTACGTCGTTCTCAAGTGGAATGAATGACAGGTGGAGGAATGGTAATATGAGGAGTATCTCCTTAAGATGAAGGCATTGGCTGATTTGATTGGGTGTCAACAAGGACAGGTGGAGCAAATCTTTTTCTATGGTATGTTTGAGTAATGGGAGGACGCTCGCTCTATTTGATCCTGAGGTAATTCCATTGGAAGGAAATTCGGATTTTTTGTAGTGGGTGCAATTGAGGGTGGGGGCGCATAATCATATTGTGGATGATCCTCAATAGGTAGTGGGATGACCGATGAGAGCATGAAAATTAAAGTAACATCATGGAAAGGAAATATAGCTTCATGAAAAACATCATCTCTGGGCACATAAATTCTTTTGCTTTTGACATCACATATTTGGTATCCTTTCTGGGCATAAGAATATCCAACGAAGACTCCAGGTTTGGCACGTTTGATCAAACTTGTGTTTAATGTGAGCGTTATGAGCAAAAACTAGGCAACCAAAAACACGAAGGTGAGAATAAAGAGGTGGCTCACGAATTAATACCTCATGTGGTGATTTGTTTTGTAACAAGGGTGTGGGAGTTTTATTAATTAAATAGGCAGCAGTGAGTATGCATTCTCCCCAAAAAGAAAGAGGTAGGCTTGCCTGGAGTCTTAATGCCCGAGCAACCTCTAAGAGGTGCCGGTGTTTCCGCTCTATAACACCATTTTGTTGGGGTGTCGACACACAACTGTGTTGATGAATGATGCCATTTTTAGAAAAGAAATCTTGCATTTCTTTTGACAAAAATTCCGTGCCATTGTCAGAACGGACTTGTTGAATTTGAGGAAGAAACAAGTCCCCTTCACCAGAAAATACTTGTTTTATCTCTTTTTACCATGGCAAAAAAAGATTTCAAATAATACTTTGTATCAGACTTAAAACGCATGAGGTATACCCAGGTACATCTTGAAAAATCATCCACAATAGTCAAAAGAAACGTGCACCACTGAAAGATTGCTGAGAAAAACTTCCCCAAATGTCAACATGAATAAATTGAAATGGCTTACCAGATGAAATGGAACTAGTTGGAAAACTTAATCTTGTTTGTTTTGCCTGTGGACAAATATCACAAACATATTTATTGGAAAAGGAAATTGAGGGAACATTCTTAGCTAATTGAGACAAACGATGATGAGAGGGATGTCCAAGCCGCCAATGCCAAATGTCGATGGTGGGTGTACCAGTGATGAGATGTGCAGAAGGGGTCTAAAGATAGTAGAGGCTGCCATGTGCACTACCCAGTCCAATCATCTTCTTCTCAGACATGTCCTGGAAAACACATCGATCATGGAAAAATGTTACTGAATATGGGTGAGTTTTTGAAAGCTGACTGACAAATAAGAGATTAAACTGAAATGAAGGTATATGGTAGACATACTCAAGTTGGAAGGCTGGAGAAAATTTTACAGTTCCAATATAAGTGACTTGTGCATGTGAACCATCGGGTAATTGAACATGAGTGGAGCAAAGGGAATATGATGAGAAATATGCCAAAGAGGAGCACATGTGTTTGGAGGCTCCAGTGTCAATAATCCAAGCAGAGTCTAATGCGGCGAATGCTGTACCTGCTAAGTTTGCTTGGGGATTAATGCTAACTGAAGAAAGCATGGCAAGAATTTTGTGGTATTGCTCTTGTGTGAAGAGTGACGGAGAGACCAGTGCCCGATCATCAGATTGGTGAGGTCTTGAGGGAGATGGCCTTGAAAAATTTTGGTTTCGAGGATGGTTCCGTGATCTATCAGAGGGAAAACCATGAAGCTTATAGCATACATCTCTGGTGTGATTGTTGTAGCCACAATAATCACAATGCAAATTTGATTTTCCATTGCGACGATTGTCCCTTCCATTATTTCGTTGGCTGTTGTTCGACCGGTTGGATGAGTGTGCACTTGCATTGGCATGATTTGTGGGAGAAATATCAACAGTATTAATGGGTGCTTGGTTGACACAAAGTGCAGCATCTTCTGGTGCATTGACAGAGGGGGACAAAGAATGGATTTCTTGCTGTTTTTCTTCTTGTCGAACTAAAGCATAGATTTTTGTGGCATTTGGGAATGGATCCATCAGCAAGATTTGGCTGCGGAGAGCCGAATATCGATCATGAAGCCCCTGGAGAAATTCCATCGCATGGTCTTGTTGTTGTTGAGTTGCAATTCCCTTTCCATGTCCACAAGTGCGGGGTTTCACCACCGTGAGTGAGTTCAACTCATCCAATAATGCGTTCATCTTTGTGAAGTAAGCAGAAACATGATTTTCTTCTTGTTTTAGAGATGCAATCAATTGATTGAGTTGATAAATTTTCAGTGCATTTGTTTGAGTGAAGCGATCATTAAGATCAAGCCATATTTCCTTGGCAGTCTCGGCATAGAGTATGCTTGCCCGAATTTCAATATCTGTCGAATTGAGGATCCATGAACTCACCAGATCGTTGCATCTCTGCCATTGTTGCAGCTCTTTGACATCAGTTGGTGATTTGAGGGTACCATCAACAAATCCAAACTTATTCTTTGCACGGAGCGCCATCGTCATGGTGCGAAGCCATGTGCTGAAGTTGTCTCCCGTGAGAAGTGGAGAGACAAGGACTGATGTAGGATTATCAGAGTGATAAACAAAGAAGGGATCATGAAGATCGTTGTTCATGCCTTGTTCATTGGAGTTAGGAGCTTCAGTATCTGCCATGAGAGACGGATCTTTCACCACTCTGATACCATGTAAAAACTGAATATGGCAGGGAATAAAAGGAATGAAAAGAATGACAAATTGTTTAATTGGTAATTCCCTTATTGCAGGAAAACCACAGATTCATTCTGTATATATAGATGTTTTATACAATTAAAATTTGACAAATATTGACAGCTAACAAATCCCAAAATTATAGCTAACCAAACCAACGAACACATTACAATTGCTGTAATCAAGCTTTCCAGATTTGATTTTGCTGGTCTATTGTTGTAATGCCTTGATTGTCTCCAATAAAGAGAAAGCAGCATCATGCAACTACCAGTGACATATAGTCTTTGTAACATGGGACAACCTATAGGATTTCATAGAAGTTTGCTGGGGCGCCTATATCTCCATTTTAATGACATCCATGCTCTAATATTGGACCATGTTAGAGGTGATGCCACACTATTGGACGTCAATTAGGACACATGGCAACGCCTGATTGCACAACATCCGCTAAACCACCACACAGATGCATTAAAAGACTCCAGACTATAAATACTCCTATAACATACTTTGGAAAAGGCCCACAAGGGGAGAAGTGTAGACCCTGACATCTATATTTGATTTTTCAAACCTTGACATAAATAATTGAGTTTCCAAACCTTGACGCCCAGATTAAGTTCTCAAACCATGACAATTAGATCCAAGACTTCATAACTTTACCTTTAGGATTTAAGAATGTAGACCTTGACATTGACATTTAGGAACCCAGACTTTAACTTCCAGTTATACAAAACTTCAACCTTGAAATTCCTGCTCACCTAAAATTATTTGCTCCAAACCCTTATATCAGAACTCTTAAACTCTACATCAGATTGCTGATTTAGCTTTACTTTACGGGCCTTACCACGTTGAGTCTTTGATGACCTCTACACTGCCATTCTCCACCTCTTACAAGTCAGTCTCAACTTGCACCAGAAGGCAATCTACCTGGCATTTCTATTACATTTCTCCTTCCTAGTCGGCTACATGGCCCTCCAATCTCGTGATAACAAATTAACAATGCTTTCATGGGAGTCATACATTATACCGTATTCAGGACATTATATTTTCTAGCATATTTTCTTTTATGTCATCTTCATTATTTACCCTTGTACATAGAATTATCATTGCCAAAGGGAAAACCCTAATATAAATATTATTCAACATTATAAAGGGCATCTAATCAAATTACTGTTATTGGCCTTTCATTCAGATTCTGCAGCAGAAAGTTAATGATTGTATTAAGTAATTTTAAAAAGAATGGCAGGTCGTGCAAATTTATATAGAATTTAAGATGAAAAACATACTGATCATCTCTGTTATTGATCCATTCTGGAATAGGCCCAGTCAGCAAGTTTCCTGTCAAATACCTAATCAATGAGCAATAAAGTCTCAGCATGGTTATATTATAATTTATATTGACTGTATTTCAATTTGTAAAGAATGAAACAGAAGATGATTTACATCAAACATAGGAAGACATGGTTTTGTAATACACTATTTCAGGCTCATAACCCCAGGATAAATATCCCCAACTCATTAAAAACCCACTTCTACTGGTTCCTGCTAGTCATGGTTGGTAATTGCATGAACCTTGATATCATTTCCATTTTTAATCTAAAAGATGGCCTCTAAGTTAACCATAAAAGGAAATTCACCAACACATGACTAATCATTGTTCTACAAATTAAGACATTTCCATATGACATAGAAATAGAAATTTTCGGGGACGGATTTATATGTATCGCAAATGACATCGGAAGATTTCCCCAAATTTAGTTACTTACATAAAGGTTACCCTTTTAAGCCCTTCTAAGTTTGAAATGTTTCCTTCCAACTTGTTGAAACTGAGGTCTCTGTGACAGAATAACAACGAATTGTCATACACAAGCAATAAAGTTTAGTAGCTATATATAAAGAATATATTAGCAGATGTAGAGGAATATAAACATAAGGAGATAGTAACTTGATTAATTATTAGCACAGCAATCTTTTGCTCCATTCATCTTGAACTACGTGGTTTTTTTACAATATGGTAAATTCAACATTGTTAATTGTTAAAATCAATATGATCTTTCATTACTCTTGTTGCGGTTAATGGACTAGAACTATTTGGAACCTGATCTCTAGCAATTACATATTCAACCTAGCTTGCTTGGTTCAGTCCCAAAATATGTTAGAATTCTTCTCCTACTACTTTCCTCTCGTGGTTTTTTCAGTGATTTATGCATGACTGGGACCATGTGCTTACATGCTTTCTAGTTTATTTTGATTTCCTTAATTCCTAGTTTTTCTGAGTCATATAATTCAGGTGTGATAGTGTTATGTAGATTGCTTACATGTTTTATAGTTCAACCTGTTTTGCTTGCGTACTTATGCTTTCCACCTGCCCTTTAGTTCTTCATATCGGTGCCATTCTTATGCATGTTTTAGCATCTCTTCCTTCTTTCACCAGAACTATCACGTGTGCTTACAGACAAAGTGTTTTGGTTTCTTTGCAATTTCTTTAGCCTGTTCTATTCATTTCATTATTTGCTTCTTGTAATTGACTATATTAGAATGGGACTCGAGTGATTCTTGGGTGATAAGCAGAGCAGCTGTTTGGTTAGGCAAGTTGGGTATCAAAACCCTCCATCCCATAACCCCTCTGCTAAGTTCTTAAACTAAGACAAGATTGGCCTTGGGATCTAGAAGTAGGCACTTCAGCCAAAGTTTTAGCTTAATTTCAACTGGTAAAAGAAAGCCTTATCAAATTTATGGAATTTAAATATACCACATATGTATGCACGTACATAGGTGCATATATTGTATATGTATATCATCTTAGTTTCATGTAAACAAGCACATCTGCCTTGAAAGCAGTAAGTTATCATTACTCCAGAGAGAATTGGCCTCGAAAGCCAAAAACAAAAAAACTGAGGAAGTGGTAGAATTACAAAATTGTCAATTGATGCATATTTGCTACGTAGTCGGGGATTGATCCAGATATATTGCAGTTGCTCAACATCCTGCAGCACAAACCAAATTCCTGCAAATAAAATATATTGGGAATGCAATAGCCAATCTTTTAATTTATTTCTGCAACCATTAACTTACAAACGTGTCAAGTTTGGCATGTTCTCTAGCGGTGGAAACTTTGAACTCCCACCATTTAAGTCCCTAATCCTTCTGCATAGTGACCCCCAATAAGACTACATGAGTAGGAATATTGATTTATCAAAGAACAATAGTGTGTTCCTAGAATTAAGCAACTCAAGTATTCCCCCAAGAGGTAGAACACTTGCCATGGGCCCATGGCCAATGACATCTACTGACACCTTTTATCACCAAAAAGGAGAAGGGAAACTAAAGAAAAATGATCTAGAAATGTTTAACTCACAGTTCATTTAAACTGCTCAAGACAGAAATGCCAGAGTATATAGGCCCCTCAAAACCACTAGCTTCGATCTCTCTGTCAACAAGAGATATCAAATGGATTAAAAATGCACCTGAAAAGTTTTACTGTGAAAATGTTTTTGAATACTTAAAAAGGGAAAATCACTTGCAATTTTTCAAGCTGTTTCCAACTTTGAAAGCTGGGCATTTTTCCAGTGAAGTTATTTCTGCTTAACCTACTGCATTCACCCAAAACAGAGACCAAGAGAGAAGAACATAAGAACAACGATAAAAACATATATATCTATATATATATATATATATATATTGGCACAATTTAAAATTTACTCATTATGATATTCTAATGTAACAGTAATGAACATACATTTCTTTTAAATTGGTCATGTCATTGAGCTCTGTTGGCAACTCTCCCATGAGATTGTTAGCACTAAGAATGCTACAGTGACCAAAAAACTAATGTAAGGATAAATTGAAGAACCATAGTAAAATATTGAGTATGAAAATTATGAAAAAATACTAACAGACTCTTTAAATTGACAAGTTTCCCGAGCTCTGCCGGAACAATTCCATAAAACTGATTGCTCTCTAAAACCCTGAAAATTCAATTTCCTTCAAGATTACAAGAGAAGTAAATCTTATTAAACCTATAAATATTTTTTTTTTATCAGGTATATGTGTATGTCATATATATATATATATATATATATATATATATAATGTGATTCCAACCAATATTAAGATGTTGAAATCCCCAAAGGAACATTTATTTTTTGACAGACGAAGTACACATATATAGGGAGGGGGTGGGAGACAGATAGATTATGAAAATTTAATCCCTACCATTAACATAAGTAAACCATATAAAATCTGTAATAGTTCCTTCTTTCTCTAATTATTTTGTGTAATAGAGAGGAGTGAACATACAAATATTTGAGAGTGGTGATGGTTCCCAAGTAATCTGGGATTGGTCCCGATAACCGGTTCACGGAAACAGATCTACAGCAATTTCACTTTGTTAAATTCAGAAAGATCCCTATCTTATATGTGTATACATATTATACAATCAAATGGATTCTAAACTACAAAGTGATATTGCTCACAAAATTTCCAACTTGGTAGAAGCCCATTCGCTGGGTATTGTACCACTAAGATAGTTGCGATCAAGATTGCTATAAAGAATAGAAAATACTTTAATCAGTTTAATGGAAGGATAATTTTAATACAAAAATAGTGTGTGTAACAAAGACAAATTGGAGTCTATTCTTACACTGACTTGAGGTAGCGTAACTTCGCCAAGGATGGTGGTAGCACACCAGCAAGATCCTGGCCTTTAAGAAATCTGTGACAAGCAAACATAATTCATATTTAATTCACTTACAACATAAGCACAAAAAATGTAAATAAGCTTTTTATACCAAGTATACTATCACTAAACATGTACCCATATGCTTCATTTTGGTATTTTTGATGCTATCTAAACAATAGTATCTGAATCTAATCACATATGGACTAGGTAATATTCTTGCGGAAGATACAGATCACCAAATGCTACAATTGGGAAAAGAATGATTTATTCATGGGAAAAGAGAGGAGATCCATGCATACAACTTTATTGCAGTTTCAAATGGGTAATATTGTATCACTCTGAAATGGAAGGGATCTAGTGAAAATGAGCTTAAAATAGGGTACAATATAATTAACCATTACACTTTATACCAAGGAAAGAAGAGCATATTAGTAACAGATAAAGGAAGCATACATGTGAATTACATGGCATTCACCGGCGGTAGGGAAAGAACAATTGCAGATGAGTGTGTTGTTATAAGTTGGCATGCCATCCCTTTTTGGTGTTATCCAGCTCGAATTCCTATCACAAGGGTTTATACTGAAATTCCAGTCTTTTTTCCCCAGTTGATCAGCAATTTCACGAAGAGCATTCTCTGCACAAATCAAAACCATATTGGTTTGTTAAGGTAATTGAATATAGATAAATAAGGAGAACAATGTTTCTATTGGCACTATATATGGTTGAACTTCCCAACATTTTACAATTTGAACTTCAACAAGTAAAAAGCTCATAAGTTGGTATATGCACAATTTTCGGCACAATAACTCAACAAAACATTTTTTTTTTTCCCAACTATTTAGATCGGTTACATAAGGAGAACAATGTTTCTATTGGCACTATATATGGTTCAACTTCCCAACAATTTACAATTTGAACTTCAACAAGTAAAGCTCATTCGCGTGTATATGCACAATTTTGGGCACTGTTAGATAATATTGTATATAATCCTATGGTTTACTGTGCCTTCACCTACCCACTTACCAAAAGTAAATATCTTGCCCATCACTCAGTTACCCTAATTTGCACAACAGCCACCAACCCTTATATAATGCTTAGTCCTGAATGTATGATTTTCTTGACAATGTTGTGGTAGTTTATATATATATATATATATAGAGAGAGAGAGAGAGAGAGAGAGAGGTTCTTTATGTATAGTGTTTATGCATTCAATTCAATATAACGTAAGTTTTATCTCTCTTTCCCTTTTATTTCTAACATGGTATCAGATAGGGGTAGCTTCAATCCTAATCCGATTCACTCCCAACGGATTAGAAAAATTTTAATTCGTCGTTGATCCGTCATCCCACGGATCGGATCGGCGGAATGGATTTTATCTAAATTCTCCATTATAAGTAATATTATTTATTTTTATAAGTAATATTATTTATTTATCTTTTAACCCTAAAACAATACATAAAATTATAATTTATTAATATTAATTCATATATTTAAATTAATTCATATTTTTAAATAATTATTAACTAATACATCCTTAGAGTACATTAAATTATCATTAACTAATTAAATTAACTAATATATTCTTTGAAAATATATACTCGTAAATAAATTTCACGGATCGGATCGGACTCTCGGATCGAATTTTTAACAGATTGGACTCTCAGATCGGATTTTTAACAGCCCAATCCGTGATCCGATCCGTGAACTACGGATTTAATTTTTTTGAATCCGTCGCCGATCCGTGAGTGTAGTAATCCTATCCAATCCGCACAGATCGGATCGGATTCGCAGATTCACAGATTATTTGCCCACCCCTAGTATCAGAGCAAGGTTACTAAACCTCTTTTTATTATTATTTTTTCCGGTCACTATTCATCACGGTTCTTATCATTGTTCTTGATCTTCCGCCCATTCTTTTGCCATTCTGATCATATCAAACAAAAGGGTCGGAGATTACCTCTTCATCACCGAAAAAATCAGCCCAAACGAAGCCTTCATGCGCCCACATGTGCCGCCTAAAGTCTGAGGTTCTGCTCGCACGCCACCAGACTCTCACGTGCCATTCATGCCCTCCCATGCACCCTTACGCACCCCCATACATCTACTACTTTGTGCTGTCACTACGTTAGCAACACAAATCATCTGCCATGTCAGCATTGCCACGTTAACATCCAGGGCAGCCACATCAGCTTAGGGGTCCCATTTTGCCATGTCAGTGATATGCTACGCCAGCATTTTTGCCATGTCAGCTCCTTTTCATGCTGTCATTCACGTCATCATCCAGCTGATCTGCCATGCTAGCGCCACGTCATCACTGCCACGTAAGCCGCCATGTCAACAGTGTCAAAAAAAAAAAATCGAAGACACCATTCCAACCCAATTTTTCGCACTGATTCCAAATTTGCAGTCCATTTTTGCATTCGGAACCTCTATAAATGGCAAAAAATGGGATTACTCATCTTATTCAAGCTCTTCTTAACGAGTTTAACCACAAGAAGGCATACTTCCAAACTCCCAGTCTCCTACATCAATGTCTTCTTAGTTAGTATCTTCTCATCGCAACAAACGCGATCTTTCCCTATACTGCACTTTTTTTTTCAGATTCGAGGACATTCCATTGATCAATGTTGCACTTGTGCTAGACTCACTCAATCTACTTCAGTTATGACTTGCACTGATCCTAGGACACTGTAGTCACCAGCTCCAACACCAGCGTCTAGCATTTATGGATAGTCTCCATCTTCCTCATCTAAATTCTTTGCAACTGACCTTGAGGCAATTATCAATCAGGTTTTGACTATAATAAAAGGTGCATCTTCATCTCTTTTTTTTTTTTTTTACCACACCAGGTAAGAATACATGTTGGTATTTTGATTCCGCTTGCTGTAAATCACATGACATCTGATTCTATAATTCTTACCACTCAAACTCCTATACCTCAGTCACCTGTTATTCATACAACCGATGGATCCACCATGACAAGTAGTCATACAGGGATTATTTTACACTTATAATTATTAGTTGGTCAATTAACTGTTTTATGCTTAAACATAACCTTTTCTTCTAATGGTTGTGTTGTACAGGATCCTCAGACTGGACAGATTATTGGGACCAAGCATAAGGTTGGTCGATTGTTCGAGCTTTAATCTCTTCATCTGCCTACTCTCACCATCTCTGTTGCATCTACACAGGTCAAATCTCCTTCTTTTGAATTATAGCACTCCCACTTAGGTTATGCGTCCTTGCCTCGTGTCAAAACTTTAGTCTTCAAAGGCTCGTTAGGTCAAGTTAAAATTGAGAATTTTGATTGCATTTCGTGTCAGCTAGGCAAACAACCTGCATTACCTTTTAGTATAAGTGAGTCGTGTGCTTCTGCTCCTTTTGACCTTATTCATTCTAATGTTTGGGGACCTTCTCGTGTGTCTACCATGGGTGGCTTAAGGTATTTTGTAATATTTGTTGATGATTTTTCACGCTTCACATGGATATTTTTAATGAAAAATCATTCCAAGTTACTCAACATATATCGTGATTTTGTCAAAATGATTTCAACTCAATTTTTGAAAAACATCAAAGTTTTTCGTTCTAACAATGCTATGGGATATCAACAAAATGCATTTTTTCAAATACTTAAACATTATGGCACTGTCTCTCACTCATCTTGTTCAAGCACATCACAGCAGAATGGTCAAGCTGGGCGCAAACTTTGATATATTCTAGACACAATTCGCTTACTCACCCTTTTGTTACATACACTACATGACGAGATGACTGATTCTCAACCTTTAGAATCATTAGAAACAGCCAATCCTCCTTCGACTGAGTCCCAGCCATCTAACCAAAGGCTCCTATCAGCACAACTACTTCAAAATTTTCGTGAAGCATCTTCTTTTAAGAGCTCCACCTGCACATCTTAATGATTTCCAATACTATCATGCCCTTGTAACTTTACATGAACCTTACACTTTTCATGAGGCATCTTCTTTTGTGGCAGCGAGCAATGAAAGTGGAGTGAGATGCACTAACCAAAACTCAGACATGGGATCTGGTTGATTTGCCTCCTGGAAAGTCTGCAGTAGGATGTAAATGGGTATACAAGATCAAGACTTGTTCAGATGGGTCTGTTGAGCGCTACAAGGCCCGTCTTGTAACCAAAGGATTCACACAAGAATATGGCATTGATTTTAAGGAGACATTTGCTCCTGTTGCACGCCTTCCATTTGTTCTCTCTTATTGTTGTGGCTGCTTCCTGTCATTAGGGACTTTTTCAGATGGATATTAAGAATACCTTTCTCAGTGGAGATTTACTTGAAAAAGTTTACATACAGCCATACAGCCTCCTCCAAGTTATCATCATCCTCATAATAAGGTGTATCGACTCTGAAGAGCTTTGTATGGCCTCAAACAAGCACCTCGAGCTTGGTTTGCCAAATTCAGCCATACTATCTCTCGTCTTGGATTCTCTGCTAGCTATTATGACTCGGCTGTATTCATCCAACGCACTAGCCGAGGTATTATTCTTCTTTTACTTTATGTTAATGGTATGATCATCACTGGAGATGATTTGACGGGAATTGTAACGACCCGAACCCGTAAGTCCGAACCGTTAGCCGGGTCCTTACCCGAACCCGAGGTTACCTAGGTAATTACCTTCAATTCCATGGTCAATACATCATTATCATGTCATATTTATACCTCATAAGAACTCTAGAAAAGCAAGGCTCAGGGTTAATCACGTCAAAATATGGAACAAGGCTTACAAAACTATAGCATTTCGGCCGACCGAAGTGGAGTTTCGGTCGTCCGATATGGCTCCTGTACTAGTCGACTGAAATGGCCATTCTTATAATACCCCTAATTTTAAAAGGATAGTCTTAGTATATAATTTATTGTTTTATTGCATTTTTATTTGCTTATTTGCTAATTGTTTAATTGTTTTTATTTATTTGAATTAATTGTTTAATTGTTTATTTAATTGAATTAATTGGTTAATTGTTTTATTTAATTGATTATTTGATTTCTTTGTTTTATTTACATTTATGCTTAAGTGGACTTAGTTTAAATATGAATTTAATGTAGTATATAGTTTAGGGTTTTATATTTTATCATATGGTGGCGGACTAGTTTTATATTTAGTGTAGGTTTTTGTCTCTTAAAATAAGTGTAATTAGGTTTTTAAAGAACAATATACGTCTGTCTAGAGTTAAGAAAAACCCTATTCACGTATACAGAGAGTTCGTGTTTACAGAGAGAGACTTGAGAGGAAAACAGAGTAAATCGGTTAGGGTTTCGGCCATAGTTTAAGATTGGACCAAGGAGAAAGGAAGGTGATTGCTCGTGGGTTGAACCAACGGGCAACAGAGGAGGAGAACAGTGAAGGATCGCCAGAAATTTAGGAAGATGACGCCAAGATTTTAATTCAAAATCTCACAGGCAAGTTCTATTCTTAACTCTCTCCCTTAGGCTTCGAGTTCTTTACATGCTTAAATAATTCTAGGATTAATTGAACGATTAAATTTATATGTCATGTTATAATCTGATAACAACAGTATGTGTGCTAATGAATTTATAATTGTTTGAACTTGCGTTTTCTTGTATAATCATCTGTTTTAAGTAATGTCAGTTATACATTAT